CGAGATATCTATAATTGAATAAATAAGTTCAATCATAAACGAAATAGAAAATTTGCAAACATCACCGGTGGTAAGTCAATCAACGATTTCAGATTCTATGCAAAAATTCTGTGGAATTAGTTTATATTGAAGAAATTCAAACTTACAAAGAATATCTTTTAGCTATGAAGAACCTGAAAATTTTTCATCACAAGTCTACTGAACATCATTGACAGATGAAAGGACTTCGTTCTTTAATGAAAATATTTTCTTAATTCTATTGAGAATGTTTTACGAGTGTAAAAGGAACCGTATTTAAAAAATACTAAAGTAAGTTAGTAATAATAACTAGTTACTTTTTACATGTTTGTAAATGTAGATCGTCCAGGTTAGTATAGTCCTGAGAAGGACTGTTTTTGTTGTTGTTGACTGACGTTTCGACAAACTTAGCGGTAGTCATCTTCAGAGACAAATGAAGACTCTGATTTGACTCTTTCCATCTTCAGAGTCTTCATTTGACTCTGAAGATGACTACCGCTAAGGTTGTCGAAACGTCAGTCAACAACAACAAAAACAGTCCTTCTCAGGACTATACTAACCTGGACGATCTACATTTACAAACATGTAACGATACTTTCGGGTTCATACCATTTACTTTAGTTACTTTTTGTCAACTTTTATTTCTGACAGTAACAATAGCTCCTTTTTTTTAGAACTTAATTGTAATTATTACTAGTTACAAAAATAGCCCAGCTAAACATACAGATATAGTTCGGAAATTTCAAGTTTTCAACAAAACGCTTTACTTACTTTTTTCAAACAGTAATTTCAACCAATTTTATATGTATGATCAAAATACTGCACATCAAAGAGACTAGTCATATTTTCTTCAATAAAATTGAAAGTAAATTTGAAGTAGAAAAATAAATTGACAATTTTTTATTGTCCTGACATAGGAATAGTTCGGCAAAAAGAAAAGTCGTACCTTTTCAGGACCAGGTTCCTCACCAAAGAAAGAAAGAACAACTATTGAGAAAGTTGTTACAACAAACATGATGATGGCAAAATACATAAAATTTAAGGTAACAAAACCAGGTCTAGTGTCGGCATCACCACATTTTGGTTGAGGGTAGGCGAAGTCACCGATCATACGGGATATACCCAGCACAAAACCAACCATCATACCATAGAACGCACCCTGAAACAACATGAATAGCTACCATAAGTTGAACAAAATGAATATGAAAAATTATGTTTGTAAATCTAGTACTTCGGCTGGTCATGTCGACTTTTTGTCAGTAATTCCGTGATCTACAAAGTCGCAATACTTAATACCTAATCCAATCTCCAAAAAAGCCATAGTGCCATACAGTAGATTCCCTTCGCTGTGCAATTTGCTGCTGTAGATTTTTAAAATTAGTTTACAGGCTGCAGCTAGCACGCTCAGCTGCTACTTAGTAGGGCACTGCACAGCGTTGTTCTCCAGTGAAAAAAACTTCAAGAACTTACACCATTTTTTTACTTACAAATTCATTGACGCGTTTCCACATTATTGCGAGCATGTAGAGGGCACATATGGGTGGTGAGAGATATGAAGATATAGCTTGGATATAAAGGAACATTTGACCACCTTGAAAGCGTTCGACCACAGGTATCCAAAGAATACTCACACCACACATAACGACAACCCAAATACTAAAGACATGAGGAAAATATATGATTTATATTGTTGGAGAAATAATTATCTCTGTGCATAAATTATTAAATCTAAGACTATACACTCACCGTCCAACAATCATCAACTCTCTTGTTGTCGTTTTTTTTCGTATTCTACTATAAATATCGATGGTGAATATTGTACTTGAACTGTTAAAGATTGATGTAAGATCACTCATCAATGCTGCCATCATGACTGCAAACATCGCTCCGCGTGCTCCTGGAGGCATGAGACCAAGAATCAATCGAGGATAAGCGATGTTTGAACATGCTACCGATGATCCACAGACATCCCTACATGCCTCGCCAACACAAGCGACCTCATCTGTGAAATACAACATACTTTTAATCAATGTTACATTTAATTACCAAGAGATGTCAAAATAAGGTAGGTCAACGCGACACCGGAATCTTTAAAAATTATAACTTTATATTATTTTTAAAGAGATGTTTACTTCAAACTTCCAGTGGGTTATTGAGATCACAAACTCTTTCATAAAAAAAACACGTTTTAAAGCGGGATTATTCCAGAGAAGCAATTCTTCCAAAAGTAATAAAATGTAAAAATCAATGTTAAAACAAAGTCCATTACATAGTTTCATGAGATGTAAAAATCAATATAAAACAGTAAAAAAATTTCACAAAGTTGCAAGGTCAATTTTGGATGTATTGTTTAGCGTAGCAAACATTCGTATTCTAAAATCCTCATCCATCACAAACGCTTAGTGGAGCTTTAAATCATCTCATAGTTGCTCAAAGACGGCATTTTCGTTTCATTTATTGCTCGATTACAAGTATTTTAGCGAAAATCTTGCCATAGATGGAGAAATGACTTTGTCATTGAAAAGTTGGAGCAAAAGTTTTAAATCTTACTCCATGAGTGTGGGTGAGCTTTTAGAATAAAGGAATAAGTTTTGTGATACATAAACTAGATAATTCATTGTCAGACATTCTTTACCATACATATTTTACGTTGGTACTCAACACTCTAAAATTTTATCTAAAATTCCTGATTGTTACAAAAAATCGATCACATCTTTACATTTTCACAAATTTATTTAATATTGGAAAAAATCAGTGAAGTGACAACTCAAAAGTGTGCAGAACTAACTACCAATTATAATAAAAATTATTCTTACTTTTTTTCCACACCATACATGTGATCCGATAAAGATGGTAAACACATGTGTTATCTAGCTATATCACCCGGTAAAGATGAGTTACCCATGCATGTCAATCAGATAAGACGTGCACTAATCATTTATAGCACCATATTAAGACGTCTGCTATACATAAATATAACCCACCTGTGTATAAAACACGACTTATCATACCAGGCATAACCAGTAAGAACATTGGTAATATCTTGATGTAACCGGCTAAGAGACAAGCGGCTTTACCGTGAGAGAGATTTTTCGCAGCCAAAGCCCGTTGAACTATGACCTGTAGAAGTTAACTGGAATGCTTACTTCATTGAAATAGAATAAAGACAGTATTTGGTGACTATCAACAAGGCAAGAAAAATAATCGACTCTTAATTCGACAAAGTCCCTAAAGCACGTAATTTAGCTACGCAACATACATGAAAGTGAGAAAAAAATTTGGTTCGTAAACTTAAGTAGAAACTGCTAAGGAAAAGTAGAAATGGAAAGAAGTCGAAAATAGCCAGCACGTTTATTAAGTGTATTAACAGACCATGAATTTAGTTTTTAACTTCTACATCATCGTATACATTACGGTCTTACGAAAAAAAATTAAAAACATCAGTGAGATCAAAATTAGAGTAATAGTTTAATTCGCTCTAATCAGAGTAATCAAGATCTTAATTTATAAATACTACTATCTACATAAGAAGAAAAAAATAGTGATGGTTTAAAATTTGGGATTAAATACCTGATCAGCACACCAGTACCATATCGAAGCAGTTGTAGTTCCAAAAATGAAGCCAGGCCAAGGAATATCGCCATCTACTGGATCACGAAGTAAAACAAATGAATCTTCACGAGGAATTCCACATGTTGTGTTTGGAATGGATGAATTTGGTATCGCTGACATGTATTTTTCTTGTAGACCACTGTAACCGCCGACCTCTTTGAAAGCTGGTCAATAAAACAAAGAAATACAAACATTACTGATAAATTATTTACGTAAAAAATGCAAACACATCTTAGGACGTTTTCATACAGAAGAAACACACTTTTCAGTAAAACGTATTACAAGCGTTTCAACAGCAAATTCAGAGTTAGACATTTGTAGATAATGATTTTCCAGGTTAGTACAGTCTTGAAAGGAGGGTCAACTTCACTTTAAAGATAACTACCGCTAAAGGATGTTGACAACAGTAAATACCAACACCAAGAGTCTAAGACTCACTAAAGGATGTTGACAACAGTAAATACCAACACCTAGAGTCTAAGACTCACTAAAGGATGTTGACAACAGTAAATACCAACACCGAGAGTCCAAGACTCACTAAACGATGTTGACAACAGTAAATACCAACACCGAGAGTCTAAGACTCACTAAAGGATGTTGACAACAGTAAATACCCACACCAAGAGTCCAAGACTCACTAAAGGATGTTGACAACAGTAAATACCAACACCAAGAGTCTAAGACCCACTGATGACTGCACTTAACTGACTATCAACAACTACAAAAATGTAACGACACTTCTGATGGATTCAAACCATTAACATTGCTTCAACTTTTATTGTAGACATAAACAATTTATCTGTGAGTGTGATATTACATAAAAATATAATCATCTCACCAGTAATGGAGACGGCAAAAGAACCAATGACCATTACGAAAGTTGATAAAGTATCTGTGTATATGACAGCAGTCAAACCACCTATAACAGAGATTACTATGTATGTTTACCTCATGCAAAGCAATAAAAAGAACACTTCATCAGTGGCGTACCTAGTGCTGTACACAAAGCTGTTAAAGCCAATTGCAATAAAATGCCAAAATAGATGTTCCATCCCAAAGCTTGATTGATGAACAGTGATGCAGAAAACATGTTCACCTGAACAATAATTAAAATGATTGGTGAAAATCCCCAAATCCTTAAGGACGATGATGAAAATCTGCTTTTCTTTATTGATGTATTAATCCCACAATCCTTAGAATCAATGATGAAAATCTCCTCCTTTTTACTGGTAATATCAATCCCACAATCCTCAGTGTTGATATTCAGGAGATAAGACCACCTACCGATATTTTAGTGAAAATATACAACATGAGGGATAGACAAGCAAGATAAATACGCAGACGTTGTCCACCAAACCGTCGTTGAATATATTCAGGCATTGTGCTAATCTACGGTAGAAAAATACAATCACAAAGTAAGGTTTACGTTTGCTATATCTTGAGTTAAAGTGCCCCTATCAGCAAAAACTTCTATTAGCGATATCAAAACGAAGTGTAGTATCTAACGTGTCGGTGGAAAAATTTCCAATTTGGTCAAATTGTCTTTTTGTTATGAAGGTTTAAAGTTGCTTTCAGTGGATCTTGTCCGTCGTTGCATGGAGCCTGGGTCAAGCCAACTTCTGACGTCATCCAAGGTAGTTGGTACATATATCCTGTATTGAGGAATCCCTTGTATGACGTCACAAATGTTAGTCGTTCAAGACTTTTCGAACGATGGACAAGGTCATTTGAAAGAAGCATTTCTTGCTAACTTTAAACAGCCATAAAAACGGAAAGATTTGACTAACTTAAAAACTTTCCTCACTGATACGCTGAAAATTACACCTAAATTTGATATCGCTATTAAAAATTTTGGCCGAATGGGGCACTTTAAGTGTGCAATACTTATCATGTTATAATGTGATATGGAAAATATTTTCAAACATCACATCACAATACAACGCATCTACTCAAATGTTTGTCAAGTAGAAAAAAGGTTTATAATTAAGACTTAGCAAAAAATATACAAAAATCTTTGGTGTCGCACACCAACCATTGGCCACATACAATGATGAGAAAATCCGTTTTAATTAACAATAACAGTAGCGTGGCCTGAGTGAGTATTTACTTCTCTATGTAAATTCTGAAAGATTATAACCATTCATTTCTTTATAAATCTATTATTCTAACGGTCAGCGAACACAAAAATATTTGCATAGCGGGAGTAAAATGTCGAGCTTGCTGCGCTACTGCTGATGATTCACTCACCCCACTGGCCATATACACAGGTAAGAAAATCCATCCTAACGCTTGAATCAAGATCAAAGCCTAAAACATGTATATATAAACGGCAAGTTGAAAACATTTCTACGATCTTATTCTACTACAAATTGAGAAAAAATGCCGTACATTAAATCTTTAATAATTTATATTTCCTTTTCAACTTCATTCATATTCTTTAAGCACATTCACGACAAAGAGAAGATGTATTTTTTTGTGTGAGAGGAAGGGATGGGGTGTGGGGGTATGTGTGTGTGTGAGAGTGAAGTTATCCTTGTTCATTAACCACAAACTTTTGGTAAAAGTTTAAATGAGAAACCTCAGAGGTTTCAATGAATAAAACCAATCAAGAAATTGTAAGCAATAAAACTGGATCAGCCTCCTAGATGGTGTAGTTAGATGCAATTATAGTGGTTTTGCTTTATCTGGTACGACCCGGGGTGGGGGTGGTGACACCACTAGGTGAAAGTGGAAACACCAAGGAGGGTGGTAGTGACACCACAAGGTGAAAGTGGAAACACCAAGGAGGGTGGTGGTGACAACACTAGGTGAATATGGAAACACCAAGGAGGGTGACACCACTAGGTGAAAGTGCAAACACTAAGGTGGGGGTGGCACCACTAGGTGAAAGTGGAAACACCAAGGAGGGTGGTAGTGACACCACAAGGTGAAAGTGGAAACACCAAGGAGGGTGGTGGTGACAACACTAGGTGAATATGGAAACACCAAGGAGGGGGGTGACAGCACTAGGTGAAAGTGCAAACATTAAGGTGGGGGGGTGACAACACTAGGTGAAAGTGGAAACACCAAGAAGGGTGGTGGTGACACAACTAGGTGAAAGTGGAAACACTAAGGAGTGTAGTGGTGACACTATGGGGGTAATGGTGCCAAACCAGGGGTTGGGGGGGTGACACCATACAATTCATGATACTTTTCCTTTACCATAAAGTGATTTGAAATGTCTTAAAAGATTGAATTGGGTTCTAAATATCAAAACTTCCCGAGAGAGCATCCCTAAGAACCATTTAGACATTTCTCAATCTCGTGCCTTCAGCACTTACATACATAATTTCTCCCCATCTGTTAAAACACTCTGACACCACCAATTAGGAAGGGGGCGTCTAAATTATCAAACCCACATAAAATATTTTATCATGCTAACACAACATTGGGGGTATATGTCTATCCATATTATTGACCAAGAGAGTCCATTTTATGAAGTTAACACAGCATCTATTTTTAAAAATAGTACATGAAAAAATGAATAGTTGTGAGTCTCAGAATGTCAACATATGTAGGTATATAAACAACATTGAAGCTAGAGTGTAATAATTGCAACAACATGTGCTGCAATTGACAACTTTGAAAATCACCTCAATTTTTAAATATATAAACTGATAAGAAACAAACTTACATTCACTTCGTAACCACCAACACCAATCCCTGCCGCAGCACCAGAACCAGCCAAACCAATGAAATGCTCACTACCAATGTTACTGGCAAAAATAGATGCTCCCACCTAACATTTAAATGGCAATACTGGTTATCACCAACAATCATTAAGTGGGAATAATCACTATGTGTAAATAGGGAGACACAAGTTATAAATAGCAACACACTGGTATAAACAGGAGCATACTGCTATGAATATGAACATAGTAATATACGTAAATAGCAACATACTTCTATAAATACGAACATAAACTGGTATCAATAGGAACATACTTATATAAATATGAACATACTGGTATCAATAGGTACATACAGGTATAAAGGTCATGAATCGACCAGCTAAAAAGTAACCAGTCACAGTTCCACGATTGGATTTATACATAGCCTGAAAGAGAAGAAAATAAACATCATAATGACATATGTATTTTTGGCATAGAAACATGAATAAAACTTTCGCTTTACAGTAGCAACGCCAGCTCAATAGAAATTATGCATTGTAGAATTGAACAACACACAAATGACCTAATGTACCAGCTCATGCAAAATAGAATTTGTTTCAGTCGTCCGCTACAAAAAAATACAATTTTTACAACCAGTCAACAGAATAATGCTGAATACATATTGAAAGTATCTAGCCAAAATGATTAGCAACATTACGATTTACGTGAAAGATGAAAGGATGCATGCATGTATAATGTAGGCTACAGATATTGTCTTGTAATGTATGCCGCAATTTAATTTGGCTGATTAGCCTTATTCATGTATTATAAAAGTCATATCTCTTCCATGTGAAAATGTAAAAGTTGAAGTTGAATAGTTTTTAAGCAATATTTCTTCGTAAGCAAAATAATACAAAGAAATGAACTTTACTTCAAGTGAGGTCAAAAATAGCCGCAACGCAATATTAAAATAAAGGAATTTTATTCGACTTACCCAAAGTCCTACGGCAATAACGATAAGAAAATAAACGACAATAACTACAATATCCAATGCATTGATTTGGGTTTCGGCCATGACGATCGATAGATGTCTTCACAAAAATCTGGAGAAATAGAATCTGGCAATAGATCGTAGTTCGTACCAAGTGCACTTCTTGGAGCAAAGAATGAAGACAAGCAGACACAAAGCACTTCGTAGAAAAATGCAAAATAGGCATTTGATCACTAAATGTTGTGCAACGTAACCAAACATCTGTCTATGCAAAGAAGGCGTTTTTTTCAAACATATGTTATAAATAAAAACTACAGAATTATTTTTGAAAACATCTGGACACATGATTACTTTCTTAGAGCTTGGTACAATTTCATATTGGCAAGCTAAGCTTTGTGAAATGTAAAATACAAATACAAGAAAAGACCGATAGCAAAAATCACAGCTAAGTTAACATTTAAAATTAGACTGATTCGAGGATTCTGTTTTAAACTGCCTAATTCTTTTATACGCTCTTCCTGTTGTTCTTCTGCCTTGATGGCCACCTGGTTTCCACCTTCTAGGCCACACAACCATTTAGATACCTTTTGACATGTACTTTCATCTACATCAAACAAAACGGTTTGAGAATCGTTTTCTTTTAAATATTTTAACTGCTGAGCGATGACTATCACCATTACCATTAGTTAATTAAAACAGTAACCTGAGCAATGAGCAAACAGACAGATTAATTGGCAACCTAATATGATAAATGGGTCAAAAACGGTAAAAAAATTTTTTTAGGTGAGATTTTACCGATAGGATTATTTCATAATGTATTTTTTATTTTAAAGGCAATTTTTTAAGTCAATTTCCTTGGGTCATTCAAAATAACAACAGAAAATTTTTACTAAAATCTACTCAGGCGGGAAATTACGCTCTGTGCCACTGATGTGTGTCATGTTTTTTCATATAGCTTGGAGAGCGAGGGATAAAAATGAATATGAATCATCTTCAGGGTCATGCTAAACACTTGGGGGTAAGATACGTCATGTACCACAGATGTACTTAAGTCATATGCTCTGTATCCACATATAACCTGTTGCTTACAGCAAAAAGTTGTAACAACAGCCGAAAAAATTAGAAATAAAATTGTCATTTCTTACTTTCAACATCAACGTCCACTTCTTCGATTTTCATTTTATTTTCATCTTTTTCGTTGTCTTCATTCGTCTTCTCGTCGTTCAAAACCATCTCCATTGAATCTATCTTTGCAGTGTTGACAACGACCTCTGTTGACTCATGTAGAGGATCAAAACGAGTCCAGAATGTCAAACGAGATATCTATCATTGAATAAACAAAGTTTACATAAAACACAAGTCAACATAAAGATGACCTGGCAAATTCAAATTTTCAAAAAATTTGGTTACGTTAATGAAATAACTGTTTGAGTATTATTGTTATTTTATAAAAGAAATAAAAAACTTTTTTCCTGTTTGCACTGGCTTATGCAAACCTCGGAGACGTTTGTGAGAGCTCTCGAGCATGTGCAACCCTCGACCATTGGTCTTGGGCTTGAACTGATCAACTTTCGAGTTTTTACAAAGCCCGTGCAAACAGGCTATACATCTTTTAATTCTTTATCAAATACACTTTAAAATGTATTTGTATACACTAAAGCAATCCGTTAAGATTAGTTTATGTCGACGTACGGATAATATTATGGCTTCCGTACGGAATTCTTTAAAGGCTTCGGCATTTATATTCGTATAATAAAACAATTATTGAATTCGGTTTTCGCCGAGGCGTAAAACGTTGACCTGAATATAATTCTTAAAATCACGCTCAACCTCATGCAATAACTGTTAAATAAACTATTATTGAATTCCTTTTAGTCGAAATTTGAGTAAAAAAATACAAGCCAACAATGTTTACCGTCCAGACATCATTACACGTACAGATCAACAATGAGCAAAATCGTACCTTTTCAGGACCAGGTTCCTCACCAAAGAAAGAAAGAACGACTATTGAGAATGTCGTAACGACGAACATAATAAAAGCAAAATACATAAAATTTAACGTAACGAAGCCAGGTCTAGTGTCGGCATCACCACATTTTGGTTGAGGGTAGGCGAAGTCACCGATCATACGGGATATACCCAGCACAAAACCAACCATCATACCATAGAACGCACCCTGAAATGAAATACAACCATTGTAAATTGAACAAAATAACCATGGTGAATTACGACGGTAAATTTAGTGCTTCAGTGAATCAAATAATCCGGTAAGGAAAACGTACATCAAAAATACGAAAAATTGATCAATAATCCAATCTCTAATTAATACGTTGGCAATAGCCTTGTCATATGAAATTAAAGTTTGGAGGTTGGAGTGGATATTGCGTATTTAAAGAACAGAAAATGATCACCAAAATTTCCATTCATCTATCTAGTCAGATGTATAATTCTCTATCGTGTTATTTACTTAAGTATCTATCCAACGATACTTCTGCTGTATCTTCTTCCAAATACTATCGTGCAACACATGAGCATAAGCCAGTGGTTTAGTTGGTAGAATATTAAAATAGTTGATTTATGAGTAATAATGAATGACAAAAAACACTTCCCTATTCACCATAGAACTAGACGTAGTGAAAAAGAGACTTGCAACGTTTTTTTACTTACAAATTCATTGACGCGTTTCCACATTATAGCGAGCATGTAGAGGGCACATATGGGTGGCGAGAGATATGAAGATATAGCTTGGATATAAAGGAACATTTGACCACCTTGAAAGCGTTCGACCACAGGTATCCAAAGAATACTCACACCACACATAACGACAACCCAAATACTAAAGACATGAGGAAAATATGATTTATAATGTTGGATAAATAATTATTAAATCTAAGACTATATACTCACCGTCCAACAATCATCAACTCTCTTGTTGTCGTTTTTTTTCGGATTCTACTGTAAATATCGATGGTGAATATTGTACTTGAACTGTTAAAGATTGATGTAAGATCACTCATCAATGCTGCCATCATGACTGCAAACATCGCTCCGCGTGCTCCTGGAGGCATGAGACCAAGAACCAATCGAGGATAAGCGATGTTTGAACATGCTACCGATGATCCACAGACATCCCTACATGCCTCACCAACACAAGCAACCTCATCTGTGAAAATACAACATATTTAAGTTCTCTTTTATATCTAAACGTTAAATTGTATTATCTCTAAAACGTCAAATGTTGCCATTGACAAGACATTGTAAACGATTGACATGAAATTCAAAGAATTATGATTTTATAAATGATTCGTAAAATGTTTATTTTAAATTTCAAGTGAGTCCTACTGCTCTTTTTTTAACATCCCAATTAAAAATCAACATCGTAAAAAACTCCTTCGCAAAGTGAAAACTTGCTCAAAATTGTTCTTGGACTTTTGGTAATTAAGTGTTCAACAATATGCAAAATTGATCCCTAATCTAATCTCTAACTAATACGTCGACAGGAGACTACACAATAAACTATTGCAAGATTAAGGTTCGGCTTAGGAACTCCCTCTTCCCAAAAGACGGAGAACAAATCTGCTATATGAGGGTGCAAGAGTAAATAAAAACCATTTTCCGCCAAACTAAAGAAAAGCTTGGATATGACATGCAATATGAAGATACAAAGTTATAGAGAAAATAAAAATATCTTTAACATTGTCACGGATATTACGAGTGCCGTAACAAAGTGTTGATGAGTTTGACATGCATTTGTCAAAACAAGCTTAAGAAGACAAAGAGCATGCCAAAATATATTGATTGAAAATTTACTAAGCGCAAATACTAGCACCAATTTCAGAGCCCACTCCGTGACAAATTATTTGAGAACGACCAACTGTATGTACTGGTAGCGATTATGGAATAATTAGCTCGCTCAGTCACAAATTTTCAGATTAATCATCTGCGCATGCGCAGTCCGCAATCTGCGCATGTGCAGTCTAATACTTGCTATATTAGATGTCAACTAGCAGTGGAAGCTGGGTGCGATATGTATGCAGTGGCTTAGGGGTCCAGACATTTCGGGTCGCGACCGCACTCTCCCTGCGTACTCCGAGCAAAGCCTATCGCAGGTGATCTCGGGGTCTGATGGGCGAAATCTCCTACCGAAACGTTAACATGCGGCGTTCTAGTGCCTTACGCTTAAGAAGGTATCGGGAAGCATGGCCCGAAAACGGGGTTTTTTGCTTTCGAATTTTATCTTTTTAAAATAAAATAAACCAACCAATACTTCAATTAAATTCTTAAGAAACTGTTTTTCTGACACTTATAATCTAAGACAACTTTAAGCATGTTTTATACAATTTTTATTGGTTTATTTCTTTGTGATTTAACTCTCATTTACTATTTCTCATGTATAACGAGCAAACCATGCATGGGCTTCATGGCAAACAAGGATTATCGGGTTCTCTTTATTAACATGAGACGCTCTAGTGCTCAACTATCTCGGGGTATCGGGAGGCATGGACCGAAAACTGAATTTTTTGTTTTCAAAATTTTTCTTTTTTCTTTACAAGAGTTCTTCTCATAAAAGAACTAGGACATCCAAGGATATTGCAAGGGTTCAAACAGCTTTTGCCTTTTTGAATTATAGTTTAAACCAACTCTAAACATGTTTATCAGTTTTTTACTTGTTACCTTTTACAATGTAACTTTCTCATAACTCTCTCGCGATGAACGAGAGCCTCCTTATACAATATGACTCTCTCATTATGATTGAAGGCATCCATGGGCTTCAAAGAAAAAAGGGATTGTCTACTTTGTTCTAATAATTTCTACAAAGATAACATTTAATAAGCCAAGCAATTTGTATCATCTAAATTGAATCTCGCTTTGAACCATTATGTCATAAACTTTTAATTAATTTTGGATTGTAAATTTCTTTTTACCTTACAATGTTTTCGTATAAACAATTATTCTGAATAACTAGAATCAGATTCACAAAACACAAAAGCATCTCCTGACCATTTTATTGCCACTATTCTCTATAAACAATGCTATGTCCGACCATTTGATCGTCCGAATTTTGTAATTTGATCTCGTATTTTGACACGCGTGTCTATTGTCGGAAAGGTGGATTTCACCCAATGAAAATGTGTTGTCTAACCATGTTAATAATAGCACCATATTAAGAGGTCTGCTATACATTAATACAACCCACCTGTGTATAAAACACGACTAATCATACCAGGCATAACCAGTAAGAACATTGGTAATATCTTGATGTAACCGGCTAAGAGACAAGCGGCTTTACCGTGAGAGAGATTTTTCGCAGCCAAAGCCCGTTGAACTATGACCTGTAGAAGTTAACTGGAATGCTCATTTCATTGAAATAGAATGAAGACAATATTTATGATTACCAGAGCTTTTGTCAACGGCATGATTATTAACAAAGCAAGGAATATATCTACGTACACTCAATTGTTAATGACTTTTCAATCGCATAAAATTTACCTAAATAACGTGAAACTTGGATTATGAACTCTAAGCAAAAACTGATGATCATTCAAAATCATGGATTGAAAGAGAAGCGAAGAACAACTTTGTTAAGTTACAACTTTGATAATCATAATACTGATCAAGCTTACAGTGCATACAGCTCGTAACTATGTAAAGAAAAGATCTTTCAAAATATTTGATCAAGCTTGAACTACGTTGGTTTCTTTATACTTCTGTACAGTCCCTATAGCTCACAATTTTAAATGAACAATAAAACTACAACAGCTAAAGTATTGACTTAAAACATCACTCCTTTTCCTAAACGAACCCGATGTAACTTCAACAATTTTCCGTTTCTTTTAAAAGTGCTAGTTATTAGGATTCTATTGTTTATCTACTCTTTCACATCATCCATATAGACAGTACAAACTAGTTATAATATTGGATTTGGGATTATCCATAACAAGAGTACAAACTAGATATGACATTGGATTTGGGATTAAATACACGTACCTGATCAGCACACCAGTACCATATAGAAGCAGTTGTAGCACCAAAAATGAAACCAGGCCAAGGAATATCGCCATCTACGGGATCACGAAGTAAAACAAATGAATCTTCACGAGGAATTCCACATGTTGTGTTTGGAATGGATGAATTTGGTATCGCTGACATGTATTTTTCTTGTAGACCACTGTAACCGCCGACCTCTTTGAAAGCTGGTCAATAAAACAAAGAAATACAAACATTACTGATAAATTATTTACGTAAAAGATTCAAGCACATGCTGGGACGTTTTTCCAGTAAATTTGGTACAAGTGTTTAAACAGCATATTGAACTGTTATATTTATTTGTAAAAAGTTATTGATCATCCTGGTTAATAAAGTACTAAAGAGTGAGAACTTGACTATGAAGATGACTACACACTCATCACAAGTTTGATATATTTTATTAATCATTATGTCACAAACAGATATGTGCACTCGACTAAAGTCTCCAAATTACTTCCCATCCCGATCGAATATAGTCTCTAAATACCCCTTACTCACGTGATTGTACACTACTAATGATTAACTATATGGTTACGTAATTCAACTCGTCCCAGTTCCCTGCAACCATTAAATGAACATCAACACCAACACTCCTTTCTAAGACAGAACTTACGTAACTGGGCAATAAACATCTGCAAACATCTAACGATACTCCTGTTGCATTCAAATCATTTACTTCACTTTACTTTCAACTTTTATTGCATGTAGACCCAAGCAATGTAACAGAAAGTATGACAGTACATAAAATTATATCTAACTTTTATTGTATGTAGAGCTAAGCAATGTATCAGAAAGTATGACAGTACATAAAAATATATCAAACATTTATTGCATGCAGAGCTAAGCAATGTATCAGAAAGTATGACAGTACATAAAAATATATCAAACTTTTATTGCATGTAGAGCTAAGCAATGTATCAGAAAGTATGACAGTACATAAAAATATATCTAACTTTTATGGCATGTAGAGCTAAGCAATGCATCAGAAAGTATGACAGTACATAAAAATATATCTAACTTTTATTGCATGTAGAGCTAAGCAATGCATCAGAAAGTATGACAATACATAAAAATATATCTAACTTTTATTGCATGTAGAGCTAAGCAATGCATCAGAAAGTATGACAATACATAAAAATATATCTAACTTTTATTGCATGTAGAGCTAAGCAATGTATCAGAAAGTATGACAATACATAAAAATATATCTAACTTTTATGGCATGTAGAGCTAAGCAATGCATCAGAAAGTATGACAATACATAAAAATATATCTAACTTTTATTGCATGTAGAGCTAAGCAATGTATGAGAAAGTATGACAATACATAAAAATATATCTAACTTTTATTGCATGTAGAGCTAAGCAATGCATCAGAAAGTATGACAATACATAAAAATATATTTATCTCACCAGTAATGGAGACAGCAACAGAACCAATGACCATAACAATTGCTGACAAAGTATCAGTGTATATAACCGCAGTCAAACCGCCTGCAATGTTTACAGAGAGATTACTATGTATGTTTACTTCATGCAAAGCAATAAAAAGAACACTTCATCAGTAGCGTACCTAGTGCTGTACACAAAGCTGTTAAAGCCAATTGTAACAAAATGCCAAAATAGATGTTCCATCCCAAAGCTTGATTGATGAACAATGATGCAGAAAACATGTTCACCTGTAAAATAATTAAAATGATTGTTGAAAATCCCCAAATCTTTAAAGTCGATAGTGAAAATCTGCTTTTCTTTATTTATATATCAATCCCACAATCCTTAGAATCAACGATGAAAATCTCCTCCTTTTTACTGGTAATATCAATCCCACAATCCTCAGTGTTGATATTCAGGAGATAAGACCACCTACCGATATTTTAGTGAAAATATACAACATGAGCGATAGACAGGCAAGATAAATACGCAGACGTTGTCCACCAAACCGTCGTTGAATATATTCAGGCATTGTGCTAATCTACGGTAGAAAAATACAATCACAAAGTAAGGTTTACGTTTGCTATATCTTGAGTTGAATGTGATAAGAAAAATCTTTTCGGACAACAAAATAGACAAAACATCACTTCATCATAATAGGATGTATCAACAAAAACTAAACAGTCAGGGGAAAAAACGTCGCTAAGGTTATCAGCGCGCAAAATCTTCAAAAACATTCGATGGAAAAGGTAGTTGGACTCCATGACCAATGGCTCATCTTACAGTAAAATTTTTGCAAATAAAAGCCATTTTTGAAACGAGAATTGTGTTACCGAGAAGCATGTTTGAAATAGCTTGCGCAGGAAAATGACAAAGTTAAAAAGCAATTGGAACACATAGTTATAAATTATGGCAAATGTTGTTCAAGCTAATAAAGATTCGTGATAAAGTAAATGGTTTGAACCCGGGAGTATCGTTATATGTTTGTAAATGTAGATCGTCCAGGTTGGTATAGTCCTGAGAAGGACTGTTTTTGTTGTTGTTGACTGACGTTTCGACAACCTTAGCGGTAGTAATCTTCAGAGTCAAATGAGGAGTAAACGGTTGTCGAAACGTCAGTCAACAACAACAAAAACAGTCCTTCTCAGGACTTTATTAACCTGGACGATCATCATTTACAAACATATAAAGATTCGTGAAACCAAAAGCGTGTACGAGCGCTACGCATCCAAGTTGTGGACTATTTTACATTTTATTCTTTCAACCATTTGAAGTCCAACTAACTATTTACACCTAAAGTTTCTGCAGATCTTTCGCGCTGATAACTTTAGCAATGTTTTCTAAACTGTTCAGTTTTGAAAACGAGCAAAAATTTCCCATAATGCTTCACTCACCCCACTGGCCATATAAACAGGTAAGAAAATCCATCCTAACGCTTGAATCAAGATCAAAGCCTAAAAAGTTAAAAACATTTCTAGGATATGACATTCCACTATAAATTGAGGAAATGTCGTAAATTAAATCTTTAATAATTTATATTTCATTGTCAAATTAATAGGATTCTGAGAGAGTGATGTCAGTAGCTATGATTATAAAATAAGTTGGCTGGGGTAACTATAACAGGCTATATGGTATAAAAAGACAGTTCAAAGTGAGAAAAGATTTGGGGAGGGATAAAATTATCCTTGCCCATTATCCACAAAACTTTATATTATGATTTTTCGAAATTAGAATGTGTAAAAAGTTTCTACGAATTAAAACTCAATCAAGAAATAGTAAGCAACAAAACTGGATCATGCCTGCTTCATGGTGTAGTTAGATCCAATTATAGTGGTTTTTCTTTGATTATCTGGTAAGGCCAGATAAAGAGCCCATTTTTAACACCTTAACACAGATGGCAAATTAACACACCAACATAATATTGTCATGAATGAAGTTGGCAGGGGGAGTTTATTTATATAACACAAGCAATATTGGGATGACCCTGGGAGGGAATAGGGGGGTAGAGGTGGCCCCATGGGATCAACTAAGATGAGTATGTCCACTCCAATCTTCAACTGGGAGGGAAGGGGGGTAGAGGTGGCACCAAGGGATCTACTAAGATGAGCATGTTCACTCCAGTCTTCAACTGGGAGGGAATAGGGGGTAGAGGTGGCCCCATGGGGTTGACTAAGATGAGCATGTCCCTCCAATCTTCAATTGGGAGCAATGGGGGTAGAGGTGGCAGCAAGGGATCAACTAAGATGAGCATTTTCACTCCAGTCTCATTCATACAACTTTTTGCTTTGTTTATTCTCGTGAAGAAAACATTTAGGGAGAAATTATTTAAAATTTTTCCATAAATGACCAGTGTGACTTATGCTTGTCTTGTTCAATTCTTTTTTTAACACGAGTGCTGGCTAGGTAGGTTTGTTTTTTCATGGCAGTAGTTGTGTATTGAGTTATGATAATAAATTAACAAGATGCCTAATCAGTAATTTAAGCTGAACAATCACATTCTTTTGTGAAAATATTATGCAATACAATTAAATTTTATCAAAGCGCCTGGCATCTGAAGCCGCTTGTGTTGACATTCATAGTTTATAAACTTAGTCATAAGGAAATATGACGATGTTTTAAAAATGTTGTAAGTGAGTCAAACAGAGCATTTATTGTGTGTTGGTCTTTTAAATTAATTATTGATTTCCATCAATTAACCAAAAACAGCTGTTAAAAGAAAATAAACATTCCTTTTAAAATATGATTAAATTCACTGTTTATGTAATGCTGTCAAATCTATTGAGATATTTATAGAGATATTGATAATCCATTATACTCATTTTTTATCAGTTATTCACTAGAAATGTATTGAGAGTGAATTGACTAAACTCAACTTTTTAATATTAAGTTTACATTGTTAAATATTTGAAGAAAGGTCAAGAAATTGATTCAATTCGGGATTCCAGACTTCAAAATTTTCTTAGGAAGTATTACAAAAAACCTAGAGGTTTCTCATGCCCCCTGTTTTTAAACCCTTACACTGCAAGAACCCCTAGAACTAGTACATGAAAGAATTGCAAAGTTGTGAGTCACACAAAAAGATTGACCGGAACCTGAACATTTCTTAAATCAGCAAACTGATACGTACTTATGTACAATGACAAGACACAAACTTACATTCAATTCATAAGCACCAACACCAATCCCTGCGGCAGCACCGGAACCAGCCAAACCAATGAAATGCTCACTACCAATGTTACTGGCAAAAAGAGATGCTCCCACCTAACATTTAAATGGCAAAACTGGTTATCACCAACAATCATTAAGGTATGAGGAAATAAATACATAAATAAGAAGATACACGCAGGTATAAATCTCATTCAGGTATTAACTATAAATAGTAACATACTTATATAAGTAGGAACATAATGGTATAGATATGAACAAACTGATATGAATATGAACATACAGGTATAAAGGTCATGAATCGGCCAGCTAAAAAGTAACCAGTCACAGTTCCACGATTGGATTTATACATAGCCTGAAAGAGAAGAAAATGACCATTATAATAACATAAAGTAATTTTCACAGATACTGAATAAGGGGATACAGTTTTATAACTAAAAGCCTTTATTTATATAAGTAAAAAACACATAAAGAAGTGTTGTATGTAAAAGCAATTTCCATGTCAAGTAAAAGATAACTGGTTTATATTCATGACATAAAAACAGCTTCAGTTAATGGTAGTGAAGCTATCTCGAAGTTTTACTCGAACAATTCAAATGTTTTTACGTTCATTTATGTGAAAAACAATACATGGATTTCATTTTCAAAAGACATCAACAAAATTGTTGAAATTTTGAATTGTAACAAACGAACAAAAGAAAAATCTTCCTACCATGACACCTCTTAATAACAGAGCATGATCGACTGCTTATAATTACAACTGACTATCTGTGGCAAATTTTAATTGCTACAGAACAGATAGAATGTACTGTTTAAATGGTTGATTCACTATGAAAAGCGATAATTGTTTTCATATTTTAATGATCATTGTGCAAAATAAACTCTTACTTCAATGATCGAACAGAATATTTTGAATATAAACAGAATATTTAGCCAAAATGATTGAGACTTTCCATCACAAGACCAACGGATCGCATTTACAAAAACCTTAACAATGCTCACGTAAAAATCGTTTCCCTTTCCACTTGAATATGTACCAGCTGAATAAGATAAACTAACATATTTATAAAGCAATAGGTTCTTCGAAAGCAAAACAATAACAAGGAATCAAGTATACGTTATGTTATTTCAAAAGCAGATGCAATACTACAGTGAAGAAAGGAAGTTTATTCGACTTACCCAAAGTCCTACGGCAATAACGATAAGAAAGTAAAGACAATAACAACTATATCCAACGCATTGATTTTAGTTTCAGCCATGACGATCGATGTTTCTTTACGACTTCTTCACAATATTCTGCAGACAGTAAATGTAATACTTCGTACCATGTGCGCTTGGTGGAGCAAAGAATCGAGACAAAGAACTTCGTTGAAAACGATTAAAATGCACAATAGGCACTTTATATTCAAATTTTTATTTTGCACAATATGATCATGTGAACGAAGAGCTTTTTTATCGTAAACATATTTCGGCATGCGTATGCCATCTTCAGTACATAGAGTGAAAGTAATTATGTTATTTACATGATATATATATATGTAATATATTTATCCTAACACGGTTTTTTTAATATGCACATGAAAAACATGTGACTTGCACGAGATTTGAACTCGCACCTTCGGGATATCCTAATAAATATGATATAATAATCCTAATAAATATAATATATTTATCCTAACACGATTAATATAATATATTAATCCTAAAACCGTGCCAGGATTAATATATAATATTTATTCTCTGATGATGGCTTTGGAATAAAGTCGAAACAAGGTGCCATCCAGTAAACTGCTATAATGGCTAGAATCTCTCGTCCATACGCAGTTAAGAGATTTGACTCGTCTCCAATCCCTGTGGGCTTGGTAGCTCAACAGGTAGAGCGGCGGACTAGTATCCCGAAGGTGCGAGTTCAAATCTCGTGCAAGTCACATGTTTTTCATGTGCATATTAAAAAAACCGTGTTAGGATTAATATATTACATACATATATATCATGTAAATAGCATAATCACCTTCATTCTATGTACTGAAGATGGCATAAGCATGCCGAAACATGTTTACGATAAAAAAACTCGTCGTTCATTTAAAATGTCTGATATCCATTGTGCTTTTAAGAAATTATGGAATGATCATGTGAATTATTAACAGTCATTTAGCCACTACAAAAACAAAAAAAGGAAAAAACACCCGACAAAAAACAAGGAACTTACTCTGTTATTTGAAATGCTTGATTATAGAAGTATCATATACTGATAACATATGATCACAGACCATTTCAATACAGAAAATTCATATTGCAGACTTTTTTGGAGCATGTCGATCGAAAATTTCAAGGTAAAATTCATCTCTCAAGATACTCCTTCGTAATCAAATGTAATTCTCGGACAATGGTCGGTCGAAATTTTACATAATTTATATCATGGTTTAGATGTCAAAAATATTTATTTTATAGTATATTTCATTTCGTATTTATTGCGTTTATAATTCTGCTGTCATTTATTTATTTTCGCCTATTTATTTCTTGGTTTCCTGTAACAAGATTGACCGCAGAAAGACGTGTTTTTTGTTGTTTTTTCCCTTCAATTTTGTTGTTAATACATTTTCAAAGTACAAATCAAATTTTATGTAATAACTCCAGAAATCTTGAAGTCTTGATTATGTCCAAATGTTTAACATTTTCTAAAAATAGTAGTCTGTACGATCCGACGTTTCTATTCCACTGAGCCGAGCGTTTCCAAACAAGCGCAGATGACTGTTATGAACAGAATTATGAACACCTTTCTCGTGCCTGTGCAGTAAAATTATCATAAAATAGACTTTAAGTTCAACGAAAAAACTATTGGATGACCATAACTTTTAAAAAACTTATTCTAGTTTGTATAGGTAAACAGGGGCGGATCTACGATTTTTCAAACATCAGTCATAAAACATCGGAGGCGCTCCGCATATAGGGGGGGTCCGAGGCATTCTCTCCTGAGAAATTTTGAATTTCAGAGCCTTAAAAATGCCATTTTCAGCGTTTCAGAGCATTACAAAATGTATTTTGTGGGCATCGTTTTTGCATAAATACAACACATTTTGGTTACGTTTTTTTTTCAAAAAAAAAAAAATGAAGTGAACAATACTTGAATGTTTTGCCAAATATTTAGGCTCATTATTATGCCAAATATATGGCTCATTAGCATGTTTAGGAACGTAAAATTTATTTTACAATAATGCTATATTCAAAAACAGATGTAGCCTTTAAAAATTTCTACCAAGTTGTCAGGCATAGACCCCCCTAGAGACCCCATTCAAACCTCTATGTAATGAGTTAAGTTAGAAATTTGGTACTACAAGTGACAGTTCATAGATGTAGAAAAGCTCAGACTTCAACCATGCAAGTTTATTGTAACCCTTTACCCATCTCCACATCAGTATTAGCAAATTCACCTTTTGAGGAAAAACTCAAAATTTTTTTCTGCCAAAGCTTAAGCAAAAATTATCAGAATGAAAATTTGCAGATAAGGACAGCTGAATGCCATAAATGTTTATTAGGCATTTCACTTGACTATTATCTTCTTCAAGGTGTGCTATATAGCAATCACTAGTAGCATTGTATTATCAATTACAAACAGAATGTAACCAACATGTCTTTAATTATATAATTACATGAATGTTAAAATTGGTTCATGTGTCATGCTTACTGGTTATGATAAATATCATTTCATATGATCAAAGCTCGTTTAAATGTAAATCTGAAATAATTTAGTTTAGAAATTATAATGATCATCAGAAAAATTACCTAGTGATCATGAAAAATACTTTGCTGTTTTGCCAAATTTCAAGGTTTATCTGCATACATAGGAAGACATTTTTACTTTATAGAAAATGCTTTTCATACATCAATAGCCCTTTGGAATTTATGGCAAACAATCTGGTATGAGCCGTAGATTAACACAACTTTACATCTCTACATGAGGTGTTCAGTTAGAAAAGGGACAATATGTGACATGGGACAACATTTCATGTATGTGAAATACTAAGGTTTAATACCATTCCAGTCAAATTGTCAAAATAAAAAGCTTCATGGATCAGAAGACTCAAAATCATAGGTTATAGTAAACAGCTTCTCATGTAATCAATGTTAGTTTTCTCAAAACTTAAACAATATGTAGTATAACTGTCTAATGATTGAATGATCAATGATCATAAACTGAAAAGTCCCAAACATTTGTTTATGATAAAGTAATAACAGTATGGCGCCTTATGGCTACAGATTTTTTGGCCATTGAAATATATTTGCAGGAATGTAGGATTTCGCAGCCATATACGGTCACGATTCCCTAAGCACTAAAGAAATCCTAGCTAAAAGTCCTTCGGCAACAACAATTTTAGAAGCATCAATCTGCTTACCATACGCCATATTAACATAAATCGCATCACACACTCGCATAAATTGACTTTGATATATTACATTCATGCATACACTTCAGTTGTCCTTTACTTACGATTTTGGATGTAAATTTCTGCTGATAAAACTCAAAACAATGTTGGCTTGCTTTTGAACATCAATGACTGAAATGTCGCTCGCGAGATCGTCTTTGCCAAGCATTTACAATTCATCCATAAATTTTTCGCCCTCTTGAAAAAATTCCCAGTTTGGTAAAGCAGCATTCATGTCAACATATGAATTTGTAAAAGATTTCCATAAATTCCATCTGATTGTAGTTTAGTTTCTATCATGCTTTAGAAAATTATTATGAAACGATCAAACATTCAATTCAGACAGTGAGCTTGACTATGTTAGTTCAGTTGGCTATCAGTCGAAATAGGTCAAACCAATCACAGTAAGACAAAAATTCAAATGAACCAATTGTAAGATAGCAATTGGACTCCCTTATAGGTCCGGCCATCCCTATTATCGGTCGAGATTATTCCAGACTGTCCACTGATCTGGCCATTGACCAATAAAATAGCGTTTCTGGCGTTCTTAGACTCCTTTATATGTCGAACCAGTCAAGCCACCCCGCTTATCAGTCGGTTATTCCAGGTCAATTAAAATTCAACTGATCTGGTTACCAAGGAGATATTCATTGGATTAGTCATTAGTTTTCAATAATAAATAAAGCTGGATTTTTATCACGAAGTAAATGCGATAATAAAGTAAGAATAATTAATGAATTTTTAACTAATATGAATAGGTAATTTTTGAGTTTCAAACATCAGTCGCGCGACGGATTTGACATACTCTAGATCCGCCCCTGTAGGTAAAAGCATGGATTCGAGTGCAATTCGAGGAAAACATGCACGAGTAGGTTTTTCAAAGACTATCAAAATTGCACGAATCCGAAATACGAGTTTAAAGTCTTTGAAAAACCCACGAGTGTCTCTTTAACTTTTCCAAATTGCACTAGAGTAGTTTTACTGAAACAGACTGACTCCATTTTAGCAAGAAGTTAAATAAGAAAACAACGGCCTAGTTGAATGTATTGTTTTCATGATAGCAACAGTGAAAATTAAAAACTGAATGTAGAAACCAAGTTTAAACAAAATTTACTATTTATATCAGCTTTGAGATCATTTTTCAGAGAGTTTTCCCGCTCGTAGCTACTACAAACTAGCTAAAAATAAAAAATGTTACACTTTGGTGAATTTAAAGCATTATAATTAAACGAAATCTATTTTCCTACATTATTTTGAATTGAAGTAATAAACAAAACACGATAAAATTCTTCTCCGATCCTAAAATAAATTTTTAGAGAATGAACAGTTTTATGAAATTCTACATCGCATAAAAGTGACTGCGCACTGATCGTAAAACTACTTTCATCTTCTTATTAACTCCAGTTCATTAAAAATTAACGTAAACAGTCTCTAACATGATAAACTTTTTTGTCACTACTCTTTCAGCTGCGTTGCATCTATAAGATGTTTAACAAAAGATGTTGTGATTCTATCCTTAATTTTTAATAATGTACGCATTTCAATTTTCAGTGCGTAATACATAAATGCGTGTTTACGTATAATAAAAAGACAGACTCCGACGAAAAGATCCATCTTGAGTTATGTAAACCGACAACAGTATTTAAGAAAACTGGCAAGAAAGTTTTCAAATAAAACATTCATCACAAGAACTTTTTACTTTGGCCTTGATCGAGGAAATTTTTAGTAATTACTAATAACAAAAACAGAAGTTGTGTCATCTTTTAACATGTTTTCAATAAAAAAGCCACAGGGGTTTCCATTATGTCGATTTTACAGGAGACATTAGTACCTGTAAAGAGAATTTTAAAATTGCCTGCATATTAACACAAAGTTAACAAAATTTTACAAGGTGCTATTTTTTTATCGTTTCACAGGCAATGTAGACCTATTTTCTTTCTCGTAACACAATTTATTTTGTACTGTTGAACTTTTATACGCGAGAAACTTTAAGCAATAATAAAATGGCAGCACTATGAGATATTTGAAATTAAAATACTAATTGCTAAATTATTACTGTGTCATTGTTGAAATGAACTTTATGAACATTAAAATGAACTTTTGAAAATACTTCTAGTATTTTGCTGACGTATAATAAATAATGCAAATATTTTAATTACTGTTTGACCACTTAAACAACGAAACGAAAGCAATTTGTATACCTTGCACACACAGAGATGCATCACACGCATCATTTCTATTAAAGATAAATGATCAGGATTTAAGATAAAGCAACAAAATATAGAAAAGTAATGAATTCTACCAATGAATTTCCTTCACAGTCTTTGTTGATATTTTTAATAACAACTGAATCATTATGTGTAGCTATTGGAGTTATTGGCAATCTTTTTGTGATATTGTACAACGCTCGTTGGAATACAGATAAAAACACGACCAGTTATTTTGTTATAAATTTGGCCATTTCAGATCTTGTTGTCTGTGGGATCTCTTTTCCAATGTTTATAGCAGAAGAAACTCTTATTTTGATGGGAAAAAACGATGTATATGGTTTATCTTGTAAGCTAAACTATTCTTTTGGGTACGCGACCTTATCGACATCAGTTGTGAATCTTATGATGCTCACAATTGATCGTTACATTTGTATTGCATTACCCCTAAAGTATCCTCACATTGTCACCCAAAGAAAGGTGTCTATAGCTTTGGTTTCAGTATGGATCACTGGCATTCTTAATTTCTTTATGATATTTTTCACAACAAGAGTGACCAATGTGCCATTGATCTGTGATGTCAACATAATAGTTGCTTCTGTTAGTACGATTTTGTTCCTTTATGTTCCACTTGGTGTTACGATCGTTTTTAATGTGAAAATTGTACAAATTGCTCGAAACCAAGGTCGAAAAATAGCAGCACAAGCTTCATCACTACAAACAAGTGATTCAACAGCTACAGATGAATTGAGCTCAAGAAAAAACTTTTCACAACAAATAAAACTCTTCAAAACAATACGCGTGGTTTTTGGTTGTTTTTTATTCTGTGTAACACCTTTTCCTGTGATATGTTTTATTGAATTTATCATTTGCAATCGTGGCTGTATTTCTAAAGAAATTATCCTTATAACAGGGCTTCTGGCTGCAACAAACTCCATTATAAATGCTTTCATTTATGGAATACGAGATAAGGAATTCAGAAGATCTTTCAAGCATCTGTTCGCCCAATGCTGTGAGAGACGGTGAAAGGAGTTTTGCGACCTGCATGGGCAAAATTTCCTCAAAAATCAATGAACTGAAAGCAGCTTATATTCAAAAATAATCTCACAGCCTCTTACACAATTCTGTAACAGTGATGCAAAATATGATCTCAAAATAGTTGTGTTGTCAAAAGTTTACAAAAAGACAAAAATTTCAAGCTACCAAGGTTCAAAGTTTGAAAAGCAAACGACTTACGAGCATGTTTCATTATCGAGATGTGACAAAACCATCCTCCATCTCTATAACAAATAAATATGTATTCATGATTGATTTGTAAATCCTCTTATATTGATGTAAGCCTTTTATTGTTTCTATTTTATAATATATAACTACAGCACAGGATTTTTATTGGCAATTTTTGTTTGTTAAGCATCACTGTCATTGAAAATATTTATTGGAAGAGTTATCACTTCTGATCTGTAATTTTTTTGCCTATCATACTTGCAAAATTAGAATTATATTATTCGCCTGGCTGCTTCGTCTCCTTTATGATTATTTCAGTTAGTTTTCATATAAGTCATGATTTTCAAAATGGATTTAAAAATCTTTTAACTGTGAAAGGTTTATTGGATTGAATTGAATTAAATGAAAATTGAATTCAATTGCTATAAAGTATCTAAGTCAATCATTTTTCGTGTATATTTTAGTAAAATAATTCATTAAAAGCAGCAGGTGATTAAATATTATCATGTAGTTTGTGTCTACTTTAATCTTTCTGAATGTATTAAGGTATGTTGATTTCAAATATCACTGATCATTGTAAAAAGGAATTGAAACTGTTTGATTTAATGTGCAATGTTCAGAATATTGTAATTTGTCATAAATAACGATTTCAGTAAGTTTTCATATAGTATGATTATTTTAGTTAGATTTCATATAAGTCAGGATGTTCAATAATGGATTTAGAAAACTTTTAACTGTGAAAGGCTTATTGGATTGAATTGAATTGAATTAAATGAAAACTAAATTCAATTGCTATAAAGTATCTACGTCAATCAATTTTCGTTTATATTTTAGTAAAATAATTCAATAAAAACAGCAGGTGACGAAATATTATCATGTAGTTTGTGTCTACTTTAATCTTTCCGAATATGTTAAGGTATGTTGATTTCAAATATCACTGATCATTGTAAAGAGGAATTGAAACTGTTCGATTTAATGTGTAATGTTCAGAATATTGTAATTTGACATAAATAACCATTTCCGTGCAACCTATATAATTTGTATGGATAACGTTTATTGATAACGTTTGGTGGGGTTTCCTAACAAGTACGCGTAAATTTTGGATTGCTGAGTTACCACTGGACTTTACTGACTTTTCTGCATTATCACCAACAATACATTCCGATGGATTATTTTAAACATTATTTGTATTGCGAAGATAAAAACTCAACAAGATTTGTCAAAATAATAACCAGTCAGACACTTGAACTGCTATTTTTTGGAGAGAAAATCAACCAGAAATCTCGCGTGAAAAAGGTGTTTATTGCAAAAAAATCGATAGCCATATTCAGCCTAAATTTAAGTATCATTGTCTTTTTTAACATCAAAAACACTGACAGTCAAAATCATGTTGAAAATCATGGCAAACTTATCATTATATATTCTTCTAAAACTAGAAATTGTTTTGTGGTAGTTCCTACAAGAAACTACTGCAACTGTTATCCTTGATGTATTTTTCATGGGCTTCCAAACCATTGCTTAATGACTTCAATACATCATCTTTTACATACAAATACTTGTAAGCCTGTGAACACCCAAAATTTTTTTTTTGTGTAATGCTGCCACTTGTGTATACCATCTACGCGTACAGTCGTAATTTTGGTACCTTTCAAATTTTGTGGTTTTAACGCAAAATTTGAATAAAATATTAATGTTCCGGTAAATCTTTCTATGACCCGTAGATGGAGTCAAGAGAAAAGAGGAATAACTACTTTATAGAAGAGATACTTACAAATGTCGTTGAAAAGAAACGTGTTGATTTATCCAAGAGTGCAACGCTCATTGCAGAAAAGACCACAGAGAATGGAATAATTCAATCAGTGGTCAGAAGTTGTTAAACATTGAAAAAGGAAGAAAAATTAGTGACAAACATATTCTGTTAAAATTTCAAGATGGTGACACCAGTAAGTGGGATTGTACGACACAATTTGCAGCAATACTGTTTTCAAACTCAATTGGAAATAAAATTGACCAAAACACTAAAGCTGCTGTGGATGAATTTCGTATTGTAAAAAACAAATTTATCCATGAAAATAAAGGAAAAGTATCTGATGTCGAATTTCACACAATTGTTTGTAATATTGAAAAGTCGTTTAAAGACTTGCCATTGTCACTCACTGAAATTAATGAAATAAAAAGTCAACGAAACAGATTTAGTTCTTTTCAAGTACTTCCTTGCAAACCAAATCACGATGTGGTTAAACGTACAGAGTTACTTAATCAAATCATAGCAGATCTCAATAACTTGCGCAGTACTAACAATGTTGAACTAACATATTACTATATTTCTGGTAATCCTGGCAGTGGTAAATCTCAATTATCCAGACAAATTTGAGAAGAAATGTTTAAGTCGGTTGACTGGGAAAATAAAACGACATTTGTGATGACACTCGAAGGACAAGATGCTACTCTCTTTTAAAAAATTATTGAATTTTGTCAATGATAAAACTGTCATGGAAATTTTTAAAAAAAGCAAAAAGCAGCGAAGACAAAATTAAAGATTTTCAATTATTGCTGACACAACAACTGAAATCTTGGCAAACATGGTGGATTGTTGTAGATAACGTGGTTGAACTTGATAAAATTTATCCATTATTACCTCAAGTTGGTGATCATAGTTGGAAAAATGGACAAATTATAGTAACTGTCCAAAATACAGATGCTATACCACCAGATGGAAATCTAAATAAGCACATTTCAGTTAGTCATGGTATGAACAATGAAGAATGTCGACAACTTCTATCTTTCTTTTATGATATTCATAATGAAGATGAAAAATTTTTAAATTATTTGTCAGACAAATTCGATTGCCAAACGTCGGTTCTAATAGAGTGGACGAAAAACATTGCAAACACCAAAAATATCTGATGACAGCCGCCTCTAAAACTCTTTTGAAAACTCTTCAACTAGTTCATTGTGTCACTGATATGTGCTTGAAACTTCAAGTAAAGGAATACAAGTATACGCAACAGGCCGACGGGCCAAGGCTGTGTTTACACTATACCAGATTCGCTCATCACGACATCTTCATTTGCTTAAAAAGGTTGACTGTTCGGAGTAAAAGCTTATTAAGTTGATAGATTTTGTCAATTTGATTGTGTTTCTGACGTTGAACAATTTCAATGCCTTTATATACAAACAATATTCAAACTGCTACGATAGTAATCCGGTATAATGTAAACGGGGCCTAAATAATCTAAGTCAGTGAATATGACCTTCAACTTCATCTCTGGCAGATCCCCACTGACTCTAGTAGCGAACTGAAAAAATACAATGACCTTACTTCCAAGAGATTTAATTAATTTGGTCAAGTGGTCTAACGTTACGTGCTCGTTGTCATTTTGCAGAGATGCATCAAGCAATTTGGTGAATTTATTTTGTGTGTGCTTTTTTCATCACAAAACAAGAGAATGCTCGAAGTACTCTGGAATTCTGCACCTTCGATCTTCAACAATTGTAGTATCGGATTCTAGCAGTTGCAATTACCTGGTAGTATATCGAATTCCACGCGGTTAGGAAGTTACTTGGTTATATAAAACCATTTTCAAATCATGAAAAAGTTTGACATAAACAATATTAAATATGTAATTTTATTTAACTATGATGATTAAATCAAGTTCATTCAGTAACTATACACTTGCAGGATACCAACACGTACCCATAGCGTAAGTATATTTTGAAAATGTATGCAATTGTATTTCATGAACGCAGTGTTTTAGGAGATGTACCCAAAAGCCAAGAAATGAAAAGAAACGTGAATATTCATGATAACTACGATAAATAATGTTATGACAAATGGTTTCGCTTGGCCCCAAATGTGGACACTGTTTTTTTCCAAACCAAAACGAAATGGGAGGGAAAACCGGCGGATCTGGTAAAAAACCCTCCAATAAAAGAAAAGACCAAAAATTTAGAAAAATTTCCTCAAATTTTTGTAGTGTTTTATGATGTTTTATATTTTTGCTGTTTTCAATGATCCCAATGATCTACTTTAACATGCAGAGTAGTCAGATCATTCGTCTTATACAGTCGTATAAAAAATTTAAATTTACGAAGCAATAAAAATGTGGGCTGACTATCCTATTGACAAAGCAAATACTTTTTGTTCGTACAAAAGAAACGCAAACTTTTGTAGAGCACAAAAAATGAAATAGTGCAGAGAGTTAACAAAAATTGTAATCAATAGACGAAAAACAAAACCAAATAGCAGCCATATATAAATCATGTATAAAAACTATTCAGTACGTTGGGACCTGACCATTCACCTGTCAATAACGATGAAAACTGAAATGACCAGAATGACGTCATGACTTGCATAAAAATCATTTTTGATGTTTACTAGACTTCATTCGATTCCAAATTTCTATGTTGCTTCATTAAGACCTTCATTAATAGCTGGCTTTCCCTCGTGTGTTTTTTTAGAAAATTTAAGAATTGTGAAACTTTAATTTACAGCAATTTTTAACGGTCGAATTGAACATGCGTTATACAGATAAACATTACGAATAACTAACTCGCAAGTGTGAATCTTTAATAAGGACGCTTGTTTCTTGGTGCTTCTGCCCGACTTGGTCGTTCATTCATTGTCCAGTTAGTAGGCCTACAGACATAGCTACTCTATAAAAAACACGTCATAAACTTCAGCATGACTAATAAACAAAAACAGAAATTAAATATATTGAAAAGAACAATAATACCTAATTTCCAAGCGCTGTCCAGGTCAGTCTGATCCGAGTGACTTAGTCTGTCTCTTCCCTTTTTTT